TCGATCGGGAAAACGCCTTTGGTATTCTTCAACAGCAGCACGTGCATTGCCACCGCAAAATCCACACACAAAATGCCTATCACAATATTCCACGTTTGAAAACACAAAAGGAATTTCAGCAACTCCGCACAATTAACCTACCACCCATTCAAAACGCGTCCGCAACGTATACTGAAGGGAGCTTACGGCTAGTGTGAATCACCACACTCAAGGACAAACGTAGATAGGACATGCCAGCTGACAGGTACAGTGCGTGGACTCGCCAGAAGAACACACTTTTCTCGGGCCATTATCTCTGTAACCGTTCAACCTTGGACATAGGTGTTTTGGGTTATATCGGCATACTATAACATAGGGAACACCCTTCCGAAGTTTGGCACATTCCTCCTGGGACACCCTGTATATAATTCTATGAAGCGCAAACCAGACTCATTAATATTTTCTTGAATAATTCACCTGCTATTAGCAAGTAGCACAAAGCATAAACAATTCTGACATAATTTTATAACATATAAAAAGGTAAAGCTATCACTGTAACAGGCAGTGAAGGCCCATAGGATTATGAGACGTCAAGACTCCCACATTTTCTCTAGAAAATCGGCTCACAGATGGCAGGCAGGAAGTTTGTCAGCCTTACGAGCCGGCAGCCCTTTACCCCCAGGAAGGTTCCTGATACTCGTTTCTGCTAGAAGCTAAGTCGACAGCAGGGGGGACCATAGTGCAGTTGGAAGGATGAGGTAAATTGAAAAATCCATCTCGTCAGGACTCGAACCCGCGACCTTCCAGCTTGTAACATAGTGCCTCAACCAACTAAGATACCGGGTGCCCCTAATATAACATATGGCTATAATTACATCTAAAATATATAAATAAATATATACTGAACAACAAGGAAAAGTAATTTCTGTGGCATGTGTATAGTTCGACCGCGCCATAATTCAAGCGGTTAGTAGCTGGCTTTCCACCGCGGCGGCCCGGGTTCGAGCCCGGGTCTGTTCAAGTGGGATTTGCTGTGGACAAAGTGGCGCTGGGGTAGGTGTTCTCCGAGTACTTAGGTTTCCCCCTGCCAATCTTCATACCATAAAATTCTTCATCATCACAATCACCCGGCGCAGGTAAAATAGGCCAATCAGTGGCCGACGTGCCGAGTGGACCAAACTGGACTCCACCCCCTACTATGAGAATTAAATGTGTATAGTTCGCTTGCGGACTAAAACCACGGAGTTTATTTCCTTTTTCTTTTGTTTGTGTATTATGGTTAGATTAGCTTCTCAGTAATAGAGGTGTAACAACAATGAGTGATCAAGATTTGTAAGTTTTTTTTTAATTGCATGGAATATGTTTGGAAAGTGCGATTACTCCACAAATAATTTACTGCACACAAGGAGTCAAGGGGCTGGACTTACTATGACACGATTTCAACAGATCACAGCCTCAGAGCCCACGGTTACCATCACTGACTAAGAACTGTCGTATGTTGTAATATTTCATTCTGCTGTGTAAAATACAGTCAGTCCGGGGGTTCTAACGGCTTGAAAATTCGCCGCTTGAAATGCCTGATACGAGGCCACAAAGCATTTTTTTCTCACACAGTTTAGATAGGAAATGAGGACTTGTTTAATAAAGAGACCAACACTACTTTGTGTATGTACGTACATAACGTTTCTGGTGTAGTGTTTTGCTAAGTGACTTTCTAAATCAGATCCTGAACGTCTATCCTACAAACGCGAATGTACGAGTATGTTTATGCATGATACTTACTCCTCGGATCTGGTGGACACGCTGTCTCTGTCCTTGTGAGCTTGCCCCGAAGAGCAACTGCTGCCCATTTTGAAGGATCCAGTTGTATATGTGGTTAACACATCTTCCACAGAGTGTACGTGTTCCTTGTCTGATGTCTATTGCTTACATTTCTTATCCCGAACGTCGAAAATTACGTCTATAATAAAACGGAAGAAATAAAATAGCATTTTAAATACCAGTTAACTTACATTAATACTAAATCTGTCTAGTAGATTCACTTTAAGCCGAACACGGTGGCCGCGCGGTCTAAGGCGTCAACCGTCTTCGCCCTCTTGAATACTAAGATCGTGGGTTCGAATCCTACTCGAGGCATGGTTATCTGTGTGCGGTCATTCTGTGTTTGTGTTGTTCTGTGTGTAGGTAGCGGCCTTGCTATTGGCTGATCCCCTGTCCAAGGAGTCCTACTGACTGTGTAGATTAAGAAATTGATCCACTAGGGGCTGTAGAGTTATAGATAGATAGATAGATACAATTAAAGGAAGCAGTGACTATCATGAACTAGAGGTGACTGGACTGCCATAGGCCTACACCCTTCCAAACTTCAGTAAGACGGATAAATATAGCTCGGAGGCAGTGGCAGGTCTCACGTTTCTCATATTGAACACTTTCATCTTTAATTACTAATGAATGAATTTGGAAAATATATAGTCATATTGAAAAATATGAAATACAATAAAAAGAATTGCATGGGGATTTTCTCAAGGGACGTTTACGCGAAATTATTGGTCTTATTCCAGAATTCTTTCGTACGACCCAAGTTTAACTGCAAATGCAACTCACTAAGAAGACGTTAGCTAATGACGTTCAGATGATCCTTTAGCTCATACTTGTTCGTATGTACTTCTTTAAATAATTTTAAAGCGCCTTTTTAATGTAGCTCATCTTCAGTACTGTATCGTAATTCCTTACTTCCGGTATTGCGCTTCATTTTTATATTAGGATACAGTTTTGCAAGCAATCTAAGAAGGTAAATTTTCCTTGTGCTTAAGTAATTAAGCACTACCCCATAAAGGCGTATGGTGGAATGAATTATGAAGTAAAAGATCCAAATAAAATTTTGCATAAAGATTGGAAACTCCTTTAAAGAAAATTTTGCTCTTCTTAAGGCTTCTGAGCATGGCTTATTATTTCCTACATCTTTAAATATGATGGCTTAACATTCACTCTTTTGAGTCAAGAATTTCGCTACTGCCAATACTGTATAAACGAATCTTTGTAAGCATTCCATGGTCGCATATATGTAGAAAGATAAAGTGTCATTTATTTCCAGCAAGTAATTAGTACTCCATTGCTAGATCCGAATCGGAAATAGTATGCAGTTCTTACAGCAAAGTCAGAAAACAAACTATAAGCCAAGTCCAGAGACATTTTTACTGCAAACTATATCGCTGTTTACGTTATTATATCAGAACACAAATTGATTTTTGGTGGTCTAGCATCCTGTGTTTGGTTTGCGTACATACTCGTAACTCGTAACTCACTCAGCCCATGACCTTACTCAAACTGCTGAAGCGTGCTTCTTAAGTCTAGGAAATGAATAGGCAGCTAAATAGGATCCTTCTGTTTCACAGGGTACCGGTTAATGTACATTTCTTTCAAATCGGTTTCCAAAGAGAATTTCGTAAAGAAGACCACTAGTAAGGAAAACAAACCTACTAATCGCAAAAATCCTTATTACTTGTACAAGGCAATAATCTAACGCGTACAGAGCTGTAGGCGTACATTTGAATTAGTTTTGAAATTCAACTTTCAAGCATAATAGTTTTTATAAGGTGGACTTATTCGACCATATACGACCTTACTTCCAGAAGCGCGCGAAGTATCGGCAGCCATCTTGAGGTCTTGCCGGTTGATGCTTATTTTCGGAACATTTCAAGTCACTGAAATGAACAACTGCCTAATATTCATCCACAACTGTCATACTTGATTTAAGAATTTTTCACATAACATATCACGTTCGGTCGGGTCACTTTCCAAATTACTTTACAAACAACGGAACGCACAACACTTGTAGCTGATATTGTCAAGTATTAAAAATACGTAGAACATTTCTCTACTTCGGACCATGCCAACCAGCGGAGAAGTGAAATGGTGTTGATGCTAAATCTGGAAAGTGGAATGAAAATATTCCTGTTTTGTACTTCTCTTTTTGTTTGTCTCACTCAGGAAACGAGAGGGAACACAAACGAACGTAGTGGCTCCGCGCGCTCATTTCCCGTACCTAAAAGTGAACTCGCCCTGACGACATGACCACAAGCCAGATTCAGCTATTTCAGGGCAGCTATTCCACTGCGTTTTATTTTGAGAAAGCTTATTATAAACTAGACCATCACTTGCACAAACAACGCACTCCTGCCATCAATGTGACATGCCATTTGCTTCGAAATGTTCTAAAGTAATAAATTCATAGGATTTAGCATATAAACTGCTGTATTGGACACACATACTTCTCCATGTATAGTGAAGTTTTGTTTTACAATGTTGGCTACATTACATTTCCTGAGCGGTAAAATAATCGATGGTGTCTGTCATATGGCAATCAGAAATACGCACGCGTCATGTAACCCACACAGAGGGGATGTTTGGGACTTCGTTCATACACTGAGTTACAATAAAATTCCGTCTTTTAGGCTGAAGCTCCTAAATTTTAATTAATATTTTTCTGTTGTGTTCGTCACGTTTAGATGTTTCAAATACATAGGATCGATATAATATTATATGTCAAGGCAATCTCTTATTTTTTGAGTCAGGACTTAACAAATTATAATTACGTAGTGTACAAGATGCAGTTAGGATTGATATTGTGATCTACATAAATTACGGAGGGAAACCACAAAAGAGTCGTTTATCTTACGTGCACAGATCTGATATTTTGCATTATTCTTGAATTCGAATATTATTCCTCGTGTCATTAAGAGACATATTGCCAGCTACTGCCCTCAACTAGCATATTAAAATGAACCCTTTAGTCAACATACATGGTTAAAAACATATTACCCGTTGAAACTAAAGCTCTGCAAATTTTGGGTTCAATATGGCGCGTGAGAAGACGCTGAAACATAACAACCACACGGATGCGCACTGTATCATTTCTGCCTTCATTTTGTTCCTACATTCCATATACCTCATATTTTAAATTTATATTACGAATCCTAGTGAACATGGGTTCTAAATTACGCACGGCCCTAGATTCTTCAAAAACTGGCATCTCAGGTTCGAATCCCATTCAGGAGTATATTTGTACGCATTTTTTTTTTCTGTGGTGTTACAGGTCTTGGAATGGTCCGAGTCGTCATTCAGTGAATCCTACTGCCTGTTTTACTAAGGATTTAGTAAACGCATACAGCACAAGAGAGCAGGGATAGCGCAGCAGCGACTAGCTACTGGCTGGACGACCGAGGGATCCGAGTTCGAGTCCCGGTGGGGTCAAGAATTTTCACTTCTTCATGTCGTCCAGACCGCCTCTGGAGTTCACCCAACTTCCTATCCAATGAGTACAGGGGCTCTTTCCCCGGGGGTAAAGCGTCCAGGGTGTGAAGCTGACCACTCACCTCCAACCAGTGCAGAGGTCAAGAAGACGTGGGTCTATACATTCAGTCCATTATATGCCTTCATGACGTAGCACTTAGTTAAGTACAGGGACAAATTTACCTTCAGAGCACGTAGAGCCCTGACCGAATTGAGTAAGCTAAGGAAAAGTACAAGTCCCTTGCGCTTAAATAAGCACCTTGCCTTAGGAAAAGTATGAAAGAATGGAGGTACAATGCAGGCATTAAATGTAGTTGAGCAGTCAGCTTCAAGCTTCGGTCGTTTTATTCCCGGGGAAAGAGCTTCTATTACCCAATGGATGGACGGTTCGATAGAAAAATGCCTCTGAGTGTACAAACCCTGTCGTCCAGCCTATAGCCTTGTCACTATAGTAATGGTTTTGAATTAAAAACAGGAAACAATGTCCTCATGCCAAATGCATTTACCGTCTGTGAGCGGAAGTTTTCAATAGAGCCGATCAATATGACTGGGTAGTAATTTTTCCTTTTATTGCTAGTGGGGTTGGACTAAGTCCCTTGTCCTGCGGCCACTTCTGGCCTAGTGTACCAGCCCCACATGATAGGTGAGGGTGATTGTGGAGCAATTGGTGGGATGAAGATTGGCAGGGGAGACCGAAGTACTCGGAGAAAACCTGCCCCTGCGCCACTCTGTCCACCACAAATCCCACTTGACCAGACCCAGGATCGAACCCGGGCCGCCGCGGTGGGAAGCCAGCGACTAACCGCTTGAGCTATGGCGCGGCTCCTGACTCGGCAGTAAATTGTCATGTTGTGTGGATGTCATACGACTCAAAGGCGGAAACTTCTAACGCAGCAAGAGACTCTGAATTTTATTACTCACCATTGAAACTGTGTTACTACCAGGTCTGAAGATGTGTAGTAAACATCGAGCCTGTTTCCAAAACTTTACGACCCATTTTCACTATTACTCCCAGGACCGTATAACTGTCTTCATTCAGTGGCACTGCCTGTAGCGTCTAACGATAATTTACGCAATACTGGTACTGGCAATCAGTTTTACGAACAGAGGAAAAGATCCGTCAGTACAGTAAGATTCTTTAATTATATTATATTATATTCCAGCATCCCGTTGCATTGAGGCATTATCCCTATTAATTTTTTTTTAATTCGCTTAGTGGGTGGTGGAGTCCAACTGGGTCCACTCGGCACGGCGGCCACTGATTGGCCTATTGTACTTGCCCCGGGTGATTATTATGGAGAATTTGGTGCAATGAAGATTGGCAGGGGAAACCGAAGTACTCGGAGAAAATCTGCCCCAGCGCCACTTTGTCCACCATAAATCCCACTTGTTCCTGGGTTTGTCTCTTAACCAGTGGCAAGAAGCTCTGGGAAGAACTAATAGCCTATTTGTCTTTGATACGGCACACACCACATAGAAAACGACGCGTCAAATAATTCTTCTATTGTTGCGTGTGTACTCGTTGGCGCGGAAAGGTGCTTACACAGCCGTTGCCTAGCAACTATAGAGGGGATACACATACGCAGACACAGAGCAAGGTAACCTCATAAACCTACATTTTTCAAATAAGGAAAGTGTGCTAAACACTCTGACTTGTCTATGGATACACAATAGCATAAACGCTGTTGCCTAGCAATTGCAGTAACGTGTTTACCGCTGTTACCTTGCAATGGCCGTCTCCTGTTTTTAGGTGTTACAGTTATTGTTCACTCTTCGGTTCGCTGCTCTTCTTACATTCTTTTGGGCCACAGTTAGTGTTGTCTCTTCTGTCGAAGAGTTATGAGACTCCCAGAGTCGGGAGAGTAGAATAGGGTTACGAGTCCCGCGAGACTCTAGAACGACTGGCGAGGGCCAGCAGGAATTTATCGGGCAGACTTAGTGTCCTCTCTTTGGTCCTCCTCAAGGCGTTAGCCCGTGTGGAGGTGGGGGTCGAATACCTCCACCGTAACACTGCGAGACATAGGAAGGGATGAAATGGGAACCCAGGGCCTTGGGGTATAACTGGGCCAACCTACTCCGGGAGGATATAAATACTGGGACCTGGCCCTCCAGGATGGGGGTCTCGAATCGGAGACAGCAAAATATGGTCATGGGTCCTGCGGGACTCTGACCTGAGAATGACTGCACTGGCGGGAGCCAGCAGCAGTTGTAAACGACAGACCCATCCTCTTGTCCGAGAGGATGTTTCGTAAGGACTATGACCGCGAGGGTTCAGTTGAAAAAAGACTGAATGCGAGTCTCAAGGGGCTTGCCGCCAAGACGAACTGACTGTCGGAAAGTAACTCTGATTCTGACTCTGACACTGACAATATTCAGCCTCCGTCCGAGAGGGAACAGGAGGAGCTCAGCTGCTCTGCTCAGTCGAAGCGTCACACTGAAAGGCCGATCCCTCCTCTCGTCTAAGAGGAGACCGAGTTCCCTGGCAGCGACACACCGATACAAGGAGGAAAAGGGATCGCATAAGGCTACTTACTCCTGCTTCGTATTTGTGCAGGTCCACGTTCTGAATCCCGACAGATAAACTCACTCTTCTGAAAGAGACACTCGTGGTTACCTTCTGTGCCCCAAGATGAGTGCTATGGTAACTAACTAAACTCACTTCATGGAGCTGAGCCCTTCTTGAGAAGCCGCCAATTTTTTTAGCTGCTCAGGAACTTCTTAGCATTTTATGGAACCCGAAGGTTCATTACCGTGTTCACAAGAGTCCTCCACTGGTCCCAATCCTGAGCCAGATCTATCCAATCCAATCTCAACCACCTTCGTGTTGGTCTTCCTAGTGGTCTCTTTCCTTCTGGCTTTCCAACCAATATCCTATATGAATTCATCTTCGCCCCCATTCGTGCTGCATGCGCTGCCCATCTCATACTCCTTGACTTGATCATTCTAATTATATTTGGCGAAGAATACAAGTTATGAAACTCCCCATTATGCAGTTTTCTCAAATCTCCGTCACTTCATCTCTCTTCGGTCCAAATATTCTCCTCAGCAGCCTGTTCTCAAACACCCTCAGTCTATGTTCCTTCCTTAATGCCAGAAACCAAGTTTCACACCCATACAGAATCACAGGCAACGTTATAGTTTTGTATATTCTAATTTTTATGTTTTTAGGTAGCAGATGAGAAGACAAAAGGGTTTGGACTGAATGGTAGCAAGCATTACCCGAATTCAATCTCCTCTTTTATTTCCTCCTTCATAAAGTTAACTGTGCCACATTTTCAAATGATCTGTTGAATGTTGTCGTAGTAAAAAGAAAGTAAAGCTATCCCTGCAACACGCCATGGAGGCCCATAGGGTTGTGAGACGTTGAGGGTCCCACATTTTCTAGACAATAGCGCCATAGCTCAAGCGGTCAGTCGCTGGCTTCCCATCGCTGTGGCCCGGGTTCGGTCAAGTGGGATTTGTGGTGGACAAAGTGGTGCTGGGGCAGGTTTTCTCAGAGTACTTCGGTTTCCCCTGCCAATCTTCATTCGACCAATTGCTCCACAATCACCCTCACCTATCATCTGGGGCTAGTACAATAGGCCAGAAGTGGCCGCAGTACAAGGGACTTAGTCCCACCCCACTAGCAAAAAAAAAAATCGAGACAATCGACTTACGCANACACGCCATGGAGGCCCATAGGGTTGTGAGACGTTGAGGGTCCCACATTTTCTAGACAATAGCGCCATAGCTCAAGCGGTCAGTCGCTGGCTTCCCATCGCTGTGGCCCGGGTTCGGTCAAGTGGGATTTGTGGTGGACAAAGTGGTGCTGGGGCAGGTTTTCTCAGAGTACTTCGGTTTCCCCTGCCAATCTTCATTCGAC